AGAGTGAAATTTGTGCTTGGCGCCATTATGTGATGTGCAAAGAGTAGAGAAGAGGAGAGAGCAACAGAGTATAATCATGGAGTCCGAGCGAGCCTCATGCACGTTGCACGCTCCACCAGCTACTCCCGCTCTGTGATCGCCTGCTCATTCGTAGGGGGTCTTTGCCTGCAAAAACGCTCAATCCTCGAGTATTCGGAATTTCTAGGAAAAGAGCTCGAAAGTAATTTTTGAAAGTCCTATTAATTTTTTTAATTTATGAATTTCCTCTCTTCGATTTTGAGAAATTTCTGTGGAATAATTTTTTTTCAAATTAATAATAAATGCGGGCAGTTGAGGACTTTAAGAATCCTATGATCACTTCCAGAGAGTTTTTTGACGTTTGTTTATTTCAGATTGCACTTCAACCGGACTAGGAAAAAAAACTGCGGAAACTGTTCATTCACGGAAAAAAACGAGTTTAGGGCTGGTACCTGCAGCGCCGAAGGTCCCAGCCCTAACCGGGTAGGTAAAATTGCTTCACCTCCACCGCCATATGGGCAGGCCAGGCGCGCGTAGAGCCCAAATCTACCTGCTTCAGGGTTCAGCCCTACCTGGTGAGAGCTAGACCCTGTCCAGGTAGGGCTGGGCCTTACCCGCGCAGGGCCTACCCCTGTGGCAGTGGAGGTGAAGCAATTCTAGGGCCCAGCCCTAATCTTGTTTTTTCAGTGTTTTTACGTATCAGGCCTGCTAGTTTCTGAATGTAACAATGCCAAATTTGGAGAAGAAGGGAGAGAGAGAGGAGGATGAGAAGAGGACGGAGAAATAAATGACAAAGAGCAGGGGATAAGGATGAAGAAGAATAACAGGTGGTAAAAGAAACATTGAAAGAAGAGGAAGAGGGAAAATAGGAGGAAACAAAGACAGAAACAGACACATGAGATTGAAAAAAAGATGAAAAAAGCTCCTCCAAACCCAAGATGACTCCAAGATCTAACCTCAAAATTACCGACATGTCCGTGCTTTCCTTACTTAGGCACTTCACCACAAACGGGAGGTCGTCGTCGACGCAAGGTTGCCAGATTTTGCAATACAATTTTGATAAATTACATGGGTTGAAAAGTGCTGATTTTTCAGCACTATCTGGCAAACATGCGTTGACGACAAGCCACAAAACCCGACTGCAGGAACGAGGATTTTTCCTTAAGGCTGTCCAATTTACGAGGGAGATACCGTCCGTAAATCAAGGGCCAGCACCTCGTCGGCGCCTCGCAAAATCTAGTCGATCAGAAAGTGAAGAGCGGGAGGCGCTAATGAAAAAAAGGAGATAAATTAATTAAAAATTTCGAACCGGATTCCTGTGACGCTGCGGCGGGGGAGGGGGGAGCGAGGAGGGGGGCGGACGCCGACGGGGGTGGAAGGCGGAACGATCCTAGCGCGAGCTTTTAATAAATGAGAAAAGTTGAGCTCTCCGCCCGTCGCGAACTTTTCAATCCGCCGGAATTATAAATAGCCGGGTGTGTTTATCGGTATCGGTCAGTCTGGGAAGCTTTGCCCCGTCGCACATGGGTCAATGAGGAGTCGCTTTACACTGAGAGCAAAGACAGTTTACTATTCCATCGCTGATTGGTTCCCGTATTTTGGGCCTCCTCAGCGTCACAAACGGGCATAAATATTACATTTTCACCAACTGCGAAAATTATAAACTGGGATGGACCGGAGAACGGCAGGTTAGCTTCCTTCTTACTACCATTTGTATAAAAAAGACCAAATGCTGTTTCAGTTACAATGCATAATTTGTATGCAATTCTACGCTTTTGACTTTCAATTAACACTGCGGAGCACGCATTCCACGGTTACAATTTAGAGATTTTTAATAATTAACCCCCCCCCCCCCCCC